CAAGATCCCAATGATGAATGTAACTGTATTTTATACCTAAAATGTACCAATAAACCTAATGGAAAAAAATTAAAATATAGTTCAAAAAAAAAGAATACTAAATATCACTCCCTCACATGAAGAAATCCAAGAATCCAGGATTTCCTTTTGAGAAATAAACTTGAAAGAGTTATAGGCTATCTCTAAAATGTATTTGCGGGAGTCTGCCAGACATAGGGATTTGGCTTTAAGGGTGGTTAACTATAAAGATGGTAAGGGGAATAAAAAGTAAGGATGAAACCAAAGAGATCAACACAGGTGCACCCACATAGGGTTCAGATATTCCTCTTGCTTCTTTAATTACCTGGCAGGGCCTTAATACATTGGCACCTCGGTTTACAAACTGAATTTGTTTATAATTTTGGGAAAGGTGGCTGTGTTTGTGTTCCTATAGGGCAGATGTCCATGGTTGTATTGGTCACCAGATGCTGAGTTTGCAAATGGAAGCAAAATTTTGCCAAATTCTTTTGTTTCCAAACCTAATTGTTTGCAAACAGAACCACTAGTGAACCAAAGTATTACTGTATTTGAGTCTACAGCAAGAATGAAAATATGCCTGGGTTCTATTATAATCAGAATAAAATGAAAACTCTAAATTATGATCAAAAACCATGCTACTCATATTTTGGATCAAAAGCAAGATTCATAAACATCATGTTCAAAAGGAAGACTCGTAGGTCTTGCTACAAAACTACTGAATTAGATTCTGGGCTTTAATGGTAGGTAAATGATACTGGCCTAGCTCATGAAAAGTGGTTGTGTTAGTCTGGCTTATCTCCTTAAACCCCCTCCAGGACCTTCATCAGCAGTCATGAACTTGGAAGGTACCATATGACTGCCTACCTCCCTCAACAAGTAGGACTAAGTAAACAGACTATTACAAAGTAATGTGTGTGGTGTAGTGAATTCACAAGAATTGTATAATAATCCCAGGACTAATAACTTCTGTTATCACCTCTTCTCTGAAGGCACAAAAAGTGGGAGCAGCCATGGGCACTGGGGGAGAATTGGAAAGAGGTTGACCTGGTAGGAGTCTGGACTAAGTGCAGAGATGCAACCACACTGGCCATCACTGCAAGGAAGCTGTCCTCACTCTCCTCCAAACACTGGACACACTCAGGAAGTGGACAGAGAGCAAAGGAGCCCACTGATGCAGTCAAGATGGCTGAAGAACAAAGAGGAGGTCTGAAGGCTATAGAATGCATTCAGAGACACAAATGATACCAACATGTTGTAGAAATATCAGTATGGACAGACATGTGCTCCAATACCCAGATATATACATGTGAAGACTGTTAGCATATGTATATATATATATGTGCGTGTGTGTACACATATATATATTTCTGTATACATCCTTTAATTTAGCTTCTACACGAGAGAATGAAAATGTAATTTATGATGGATTATTTTTTTCAACAGGGAAATAGTCTCCAAATTCTTTTCTCCGTCTTATTTAACAGCACTTGATTTGTGAACACACAATTTTATTTAATTGTCCTGTTAGTGCCTCCCCAAACTATGAAATCCCAAGAGGTTTTAGCAGTCTATAACCCTGGGAATCCAGAAACTGATACAAAAGAGTCTCAGCCAAGCAGATTTGAATTCTGAGGAGAAGATGTTCTTGCTGGAAATATTAGGTAAGTTGCTTCATTCAGATGCTGAAGACAGAAAATCGATTTGTTCCTCACAATCAGTCCTATAGCCTTTTACATACTAACATGTGATAAATGCTTTAAAAAGGGGAGCCTTTTTTGAAATATCTTTATCATCTTCTTATTTTAATTTCTGAAAATACTGAGTGTTCACATACAGGACAATTTCACACTATTCGTGACAAAAAGAAAGAATTAGCACAGAAAAAAACACAAGGAGAAAATAATCTACATTTCAAAACAAACAAACAACAACCAGGACCCATTAACTGGAGAAAAACCCTTTGGTAATATCTCAAGTATACTTCTGGGAGGAAAATGAAAAGCAGATATTATTAGTATAAGGGACAATAGATATCAAGAAAAGTGTGAAATTCCTTCAGTTTGCCATTCTTTAAGAAAGTGTGGGGCATAGGTAGTTTCTTAGAAGACCTCTGACAATGAATCTTATTTCTAAAGAGAAAAAGTCATCTTCATACTTTCTGTGGAAAATTCCTTTTTAGCTTATACATGTTAGGAAGGTGAGGATGTTAACTGGTTAACATATACCGCCAGATGTCTTGATTTTCTCATTCTGGTTAACAAATAGAAGTCTTGGTGTTGTTCCCAATGGACATAGTGAATATCAAGGCAAACACCAAAGAAAGGCACACCCTGTCTCTTCATGTGTGTGTGATCCAGGCTGAGAAAAAAGCATTTTTAAGGATGAAAACTTTCATCGCTTTTATAAGAATCTCGAAAGGACTGCAACCCAATAAAGTTAATCAACTGGCTAAAATGATAGACCTAAGAGCAAAACTCTTGAACGGGACCAGGACAGAATAAAAGGGACAGAGAGGCACCACGGGCTCCAGGACAGGTGTCACACAAAGATGGTGACGGCTGGGAAGGAAAGATGATGTTGATAAAGTAATGAAAGAAAGTCAAGGGCTCAATGGGCTGGCATTAAGCAGAAATTCCATGAAAGCAACCCCATTGCTTTATTACTGAGTAACATGAGTATTTGCACAGGACAGATTTTTATATGGCACTGTAGGAAGTATGTTAAGTGTAACATCTCCTTTAAGTTTCCCTACAAATACAAAAGGAAGTTACTGCTATCTCATTAAATAGATAAGAAAAACAAGATCAGAGGGATTTAAATAAGTGCCCCAGGGTCACAACTATAGAAATTGTCAACATCAGGACTGAAACATAGATCCATTTGCAGCTCATCTTTTGAAATTTATGTTATGGAGGTCTTTTACATGTGCTAACTCCTGAGTCTTTACAACATTTTAACCCTGTAAGAAGTAATATTAATAGTAATAGAATGGATATTCATGAGAGTCTTTCTCATTGTGATCTTCAGGCAAGGCTGAATTGCAAACACGTGTTGCTTTTATGAAAACAAGTTCTAGGGATCACCTACAACCTGCTAAACTAGAAACTCTGCTCAGCTGATTTTATGTAGAAAACAAAACCTGAGAGCCATTTGTTACTCCAGTGTTAATAACCAGCCAGTCACTGTGCTTAATCTTTAGTAGAGTTGACTCTTTCACAACAACACTAGGGAGATATGTCATTCTTATGTTACACTGGGAGCAATGGAGGTTTTACATTTTTGACACATTAATTGTCTAAAAGACAAAAGCTTTTTAGCTTTATCTGGACTACACAGGCAGCTCTGATTTGTAAGGCATACTGCTCTCTGTCCCGATCCATCACTACACAATGACAGTCTTTTACAAACTGTAAACACTTTCTTTGGGGACATATTTCATTTGGGAAAACAAATATTTGGTGGAGCTGATTATTTTGTGGACTAGTTTCTTGTTTTTGTTTTTCCTATAGGACTATGTAAAGAACAAAAGCAACCTTGTAAGGCCAGGAAATGTATGTAGGCTATTGAACAAAATTCTTGACGGTTTGGGGGTAAAATGATGCCATTTGAAGCCACTCAGAACATCAGTCCTACCAGTTCATTTCCCTTCTGAATCACTCATTCCCTCATCAGTAATTATTAATGGTTATCTGTTCTATGCTATGCACTGTTCTATAAATTGGTAATGTAACATGCAAAAATGAAAAAAAATAGCTAACCATGGAGTTTGCATCCTAGTAAGCTCTTCTCTCCTCAGTGGAAAATGTAAATAGAAGTAATATCACTACAGGTAATTTGACCACTTCATGGTATTCTAAAATCATTTTCTATTTTTTCACATCATTTCTGGAAGAATTTGTCTGTATCCATGAAGTGAATGTAAAGCTTCAGAGCAGAGACCCTTATCCCATGTGAACAGCCTTGTAGAACATCATTCCACTGTGTTTGGATATTGAATTGTCATAAAAGTCAGGACCCCACTGGCTGCATGATTACAGGAGGGGAGGGTGGAAGTACTGTGTATCCACAGGACAGTTGAATGCAGGGAAAAGAAAATATCCTTCTAGGTAGAAGTCTTGAAAGATATTTGGGCTCTGAAAGAGATCTTTAAAATTGAGTATAAAATCAATGTATTCTACAAACACACATACACACACACACAAAATCAAGAGTCTAAAACAGCACTCGGGGCAGATAAACACCTTGAAATAAGAGACAAAACTCCCAGAGGCATTCAAACTGGCCTGATAGTAGGTGGGTGGCATTGTAATGAACACATTGAAGCACAGGAAAGTTCCACACCCTGCCCACGGCATGCAGGATTCCCTTTTAGCCTCACCCACATCTCAGGGCCTCACGCAGAGCATGCCCTGACTGATTCTGGATGAAGCAATTAAACTCTTCTCCATTCTATCCCAAGGAGGACTCTGTGAGCCATGGAGAGGGGCAATCACACGGTGACAGAGTTCATCCTGTTGGGCTTCACAACAGACCCAGTGATGCAGCAGGTGCTGTTCATCTTCTTCCTTGGAGTGTACTCGGCAACCTTGCTAGGAAACAACATCCTCATCATGCTGATCTGCAATGATGCCCGGCTGCACACACCCATGTACTTCTTCATTGGAAATCTGTCTTTCCTGGATCTTTGGTATTCTTCTGTCTACACCCCAAAGATCCTAGTGACCTGCATCTCTGAAGACAAAAGCATCTCCTTTGAGGGCTGTGTGGCCCAGTTCTTCTTCTCTGCTGGATTGGCCTACACTGAGTGCTACTTGCTGGCCACCATGGCCTATGACCGCTACGTGGCCATCTCCTGCCCCCTGCTTTATGCTCAGGCCATGTCAAGGAGACTGTGCATCTGTCTGGTTGTGTACTCCTATACTGGGGGGTTCATCAATGCAATAATATTAACCAGCAACACATTCACACTGGATTTCTGTGGAGACAACATCATTGATGACTTTTTCTGTGATGTCCCACCCCTGGTGAAGTTGGCATGTGATGTGACAGACCACTACCAATCAGTTTTATACTTCCTATTGGCCTCCAACATCATCACTCCCACCCTGCTCATCCTGGCCTCCTACCTCTTCATCATTGCCGCCATCTTGAGGATCCGCTCCACCCAGAGCCGCCGCAAGGCCTTCTCCACGTGCTCCTCCCACCTCATCTCCGTCGCCCTGTACTATGGCTCCATCCTCTATGTCTACTCTCGCCCCAGTTCCAGCTACTCCCTTGAGAGGGACAAAATGGTTTCCACCTTTTATACAGTACTGTTCCCCATGTTGAACCCCATGATCTACAGTCTGAGGAATAAGGATGTGAAAGAAGCCCTGAAAAAACTCTTTAATTTAGCACAGGCTGGTGTTTGATTCACATGCATTCTGGCCATCATTGCTAAATGATAACACAGTATTCATGAAAAGACTGGGTATCTTTATTTTCAAATATGAAGTTCTATTAAATAAAATTCAACCACAATATTTCCTTTGTATCAGTTTCTCTTTTTTGGTTTAGTGATTGAAATATCATCTCTGCTATACTCTATAAATTCACTTTAATAATAATAGAGTTCTTCAACCACCTGGACTCTATGAACTGTCAACAAAAGAGGATCTGGGAAAAATGAAATCAGAAATAATTACTCACATAACAGCAAAGATTTTGCTCATGGTGCAAGACATGACTAATAAATCTAGAGAGGACACAGATAAAAAAAATAGAGGATCTGAGGAACATGATGGAATCCCAACAT